GGAACGTTTTCTCCTTCTTATCATACTGAGATTTTATTTATTTATTTATTTATTTATTTATTTATTATTTATTTTAGTGGGAGGGGTCACCACCAGTTAGAAGGTCCTGGAGCTTTTTTTTTTTTTTTGTCTTTTTCTGTGTCCGGCAACGGATCGCAACCCTCAGTGTCGTGCCCGTACCGGACCGGGACCGGCAACGGGATTGCAACCCTCGGTGTTGCTCCTGCACCTCGCTGAGCCAGTGAGCGGGAACCGGTCTGTATGTGGGATCCGAACCCTCGGCGGGAGCACCACCGCACTCCCAAGCGGCGCACTGTAGCAGTGCGCCACCAGGCCGGCCCAGAAGGTCCTGGAGCTTTAAAGGCTGCACCTAGAGAAACAAAGGCAGATCTGAGAGGCTGATCTCAAGCCGGTTGTTCCCACCACCCGACCCGCTGCCTGGCAACCAGCTTACTTTTCTCTCTAACAGTGGCTCTCCCACTCTACTAGTCAGGGCTTGTCAAACTTGAGTGCACATATGAATCACTTGGGATCTCGTTAAAAATGCAGATTCTGATTCAATAGGTTTGGGGCGGGCCTGAGATTCTGCATTTCCAACAAGTTTGTTGTTACTGTGGTTGCTACTGGTCCATAGGTAGACAAAGATAGGAAGGTCCTGGGTGTCTATTCACAATTTCCCTTTTCAGGGCAGGCCGGTTAGCCCAGTTGGTTAGAGCGCAGTGTTGTAACACCAAGGTCAAGGGTTCGGATCACCCGTACCAGCCAGCTGCCAAAAAGAAAGAAGAAAAAAAATGACCCATAATTTCTCTTTTCTCCTCAAACCTCCAACACTTGGGAGACACCAGTCCTTGGTCTCAGCTGATGACCTTGTTTCCTGTTTCACTGGAGAAAATAAAAGCCATCTGGGACACATATATCAAAACATCACATTGTACCCCACAAATACACACAATTGTTACTTGTCAATTAAAATTTTATTTAGCTTAATTTAGTTTTTACAAAGCAATCTGGAGAGACACCAGGGCGCACCTGCACAGAGGGACGACCAGGTGAAGAGGCAGCAAGAGGGCGGCCATCTGCAAGCCAAGGAGAGAGGCCTCGGAGGAAACAACCCTGCTGGCACCTTGGTCTTAGACTTCCAGCCTCTGGAACTGTGCATAAATACATTTCTATTGTTTAAAAAAAAAAAACAGAAAAAAATCTGTGGGAGAAATTCCACAAATTCCCCTCACATCTACCCACCAACTCTATACTCACATACTCTGCTCTGTGACCAAGCTCCCAGCTCCCAGCAAAGGTCAGACCTCCACCTTCTCACATCCCTCCTCCCAGACTCAAAGACATTGCCAGCAAGCCTCCTTTCTCTGGCATCGTCAATTTCCACCTCTCTACTGAAGCAAATAGGCTGTTATTTCTGCCATTTAAAAAACAAAAACATGGGGCCGGCCCGGTGGCGCACTGCTACAGTGCGCCGCTTAGGAACGTGGCGGCGCTCCCGCTGAGGGTTCGGATCCCACATACAGACCGGCCGCTCACTGGCTGAGCGAGGTGCGGGCGCAACACCGAGGGTTGCGATCCCGTTGCCGGTCACGAAAAAAGACAAAAAGGAAAAAATAAATAAATAAATAAATAAATAAAATAAATAAAAAACAAAAACAGGGCCGGCCCGTGGCTCACTCGGGAGAGTGTGGTGCTGGTGACACCGAGGCCACAGGTTCAGATCCCTATATAGGGATGGGCNGGGCGCAACACTGAGGGTTGTGATCCATTGCCGGTCATGAAAAAAGACAAAAAGGAAAAAATAAATAAATTAATTAATTAATTAATTAATAAAATAAAAAACAAAAACAGGGCCGGCCCGTGGCTCACTTGGGAGAGTGTGGTGCTGGTGACACCGAGGCCACAGGTTCAGATCCCTATATAGGGATGGGCGGTTGCTCACTGGCTGAGCGTGGTGCTAACACCACCAAGTCAAGGGTTAGGATCCCCTTACCGGTCATCTTTTAAAAAAAAAAAACAAAAAACACCTTCTGGCCCCCTTTGTCCTCTACCTATTGTCTCATTTCTCTCCCGTCCTTTATAACAACACTGTCTTATAGTCACTGACTCCAAATTTTCTCCTCGTTCCTCTCCTAAATCCCCTCCACTTGGGCTTTGACCTCAACCAAAACTGCTCCTGTCAAGGTCACCAAAGACCTCCATGCTAATAAATCCCAGGGCCAATCCTCTGTTCTCTTGCTTGACCCCTAAGCAGCATTTCATAGAGGTGACCGCTTCTTCCTTGCTCAGCCCCCAGGACTGCACCTCCTGCCACCTCACTTGCCTCCTACTCAGTCTCCCTCGCTGGCTCGTCCCCCCTTCTCCATCCTCTGAAGAGCCTGGTCCTCTTCTCTTCTCTTCTCTTCTCTCTCTGCACTTACTCCCCTAGTCATTTCCTCTCATCTTTTCCTCTCATCCCCTGGCTTCAAATACCAGCTGTTCACATGACTCCCAAATTCACATCTCCAGCACAGGTCTCTCCATGAACACCAGAGCAGTATGTCCAACTAACATCTTGACATTTCTGTTAGGTTCAGCGAGACAGAGAAGAGAGAGAGACCCAAGCCAGGTGCCATTTCAGCCAAAAGCCTTATTCCATGAGGGACTGAACCAGATCAGTTCCCCTGAACCCAGGAAAGCAGGAGGTTTATAAGACTTTTAGGGAGGGTTCTGATGGGCAATTTCAAAATCAGTGCAAGGTCACACAGCCCTTGTGGTCCGATAACATCTGGTCGGTTGGGGCATAGGCTCTTGATTAGCGACTATCTCAGTACAAAGCATTCCAGCCCGAAGCCTGCTAGAGGCAGCCCCCAAGACTGTTCCTTTGATGATAACAGTAATGTTTACTCCTTCCCAGTAAGGGAATCTCAGTTCCCAGAGCAGAAAAGGGAAAGAAGAGGGGGAAAAGGGAGAAAGTTGCTTAACCTGGCTGTGCTGATGTTAAGCTAGCCATGAGGCCTAATATTCCTCCCTTTTGTGTTTGGTTAAAAAAAAAAAAAGAAAAAGGATGTGACTTATTGTTATTAGGGACACCCCCAGACCGGGCATATAGATGAAGGTCCATCTTCTTTCTGTAACTTCTTATGCTGACAAAAGGGGAAACGAGGGGCTAATGATCTGGGAGATTTCCTTGTCACGGTCCTTGGGGCTGGAGGAGATGGTAACGGGTGTCTCCCATCATCAGAATTTCAGTTACCTGCTCATGAGTCATTGTGGAGGAACCAGGAGAATGGTTGTAGAAGTACAGGTCCTTCTGTAGAAGGGAGGAAGATTATTACAAAGGGAAATAGGATGGGGGCAAGCTGGGTAATAGCCATGAGCCCTTAGACCGTCTAGTTGGCAGAGTTTTTAGGTTTGTGGCGTTTTCCTCATTGAAAAAGAACATGGTAGGGACGATTAGTCTTCCACTTTCAGCCACTGGGTTATTTGAGTGGGTGAGAAGTCCCTGAAGTCTCCTTGTAGATAGCAGTCCCAGAGAAAAGACAGAAGTGTGTTCTCGAGGCTTGGATTTTGGGTGTGTTTGTAAGAAGAGATAGAATTAGATCACAGAAATCCCCCGCAGCTGACATGGACATCAGCCGGGGACAGCTCACGGTCGGGCGTATGCTGGCTGGAGGAGTCAGGCCTCTGTGGTTCTGGATTCTGACTCCTCCACAGGTTCCTCAGGTATCCTTGTCAGCCTGATAGAGGTGGGCGTGAGAAGCTGAAAATGATATTTCTCAGGATGTCCCGAGAGTTTTGAATTAAAGTCTGGTACCTTTTTTAACCTGGAAAAATGAACCTGATAATTTTGCCACGGTTGGGGTGGTGTTTAGTGATAGGAGGAGTAGTGGTATCCCAGACCTTGGGGTCAACTGTATCAGGGGATAAGGGGTTAGAGGGGAGAAGCAAGTCTGGGCAGCATAAGAGTAGAAGAGGTTCAGGTGGGTTCGAAGTAAAGTATATGAATGCCTGCAACTTGGTGAGGATGTCCCTTTCCAAAACAGGAGTAGGGCAATGTGGAATGGCCATAAACTGGTGTATGAGAGGTACTTCAAAAAGAATACAAGGAGGCTTCCAGTCAAGATGGCAGAATAGACAGTCCCCAGTGTCACTCTGTCCCACAAATCAACCAATTTACAACTATAAAAAAGCAACGACAGCTACGCTGGAGCTGCTAGAGCTCGGGGAAAGAGGAGGAGAGACCTACGAAGTGCAAGAAGGTGGGAGAAGCCACAATAAGAGAAAGAAAAAAACCCTCCAACCATTTCGAATCCCGGCCACTTCCAGGCTGGAGCTGCTGAGTGCACGGAGCAGGAACTCACAAAAAGCCGCAGCTGTGCCCTTCAGATGACGTTGCTTGGAGGCGGCAGGGGAGAAGATGGCCTTGGTGACCTCCAGGCCAGCAATACCCTTAATAGGGTTCCCATGGACCCACATAGGACCAAGGAGCCACAACAACTGAAGAAAAGAAACCACTCAGAGGTCAGTGAGTCATCACAAGGGACTGGTGCAGGGCCCATCCCATGGGAGGTGTTTGGAGCACAGGTGGTGTGGGAGAGGTGCCCACTGGGGGACACTGGGGCACACCAAGGACAGCTGATCTGCCCCCCAATCAGCATAGGACAAGAGAAGACTAGTCAGGAATACAGAATTGCATGGGATGCAGTTTGATGAAAAGACTCAGTCCCAGACCAGTGTTTCTACACAACCCAGGTACATCAAATTTCACTAGACCTGGAAGTACCTATAAAGCCAACCATTAAACCCTGAGCTGCACAAAAAGCCTTCCCCAGGGAATCAGCAACAAAGCAGCAATTTAGCTCAAACACAGAGCTCAAGTACTTGTCCCCACGGGAAGTTCCCCCACTTTAGAAGTAAGCAAAGGACAACAAATTAGTTCCAGCACAAAGTTTAAGTGGTGGGAACAGCATATAATCCAACACAGAACTGAAGGAAAAAACAAAGTACCCACAACTAGAGACAAAGTTTGATATTAACTAGAAAAGGTTTCATTTCACCAAAGAAAACCTATAACACCTAGAAGGACCAGAAGTCCCTGAGCTACCAAGCCAGAAAGGGGAGAGAGCCGGGGACCTCAGCCATGCCCCCCAACACCCACAACCAGTCCTGAGGGTGGGGGCCAAGGGCCTTAGTCACACCCTCCCAAACATGAGCAACTAGCCCAGCAATGACCACCCAGCTGCCGCAGGAAGTGCCCCAGGCTTTCCCAAGCTGGGGCAGTGTGGGCTGAGGGCCTCAACCATTTCCTCCTGACACCCACAGCCTGCCCAGTGACGACCACCCAGCTGCCACAGAAAGTGCCCCAGGCTCTCCCAAGCTGGAATGATGGGGGGCTGGGGGCCTCAGCCATGCCCCCTGACACACCCAACCAGCCCAGCGACAACTAACAAGCCACAGCAAGAAGGGACCTGGGTTCCCAAGCTGGGATGGTGGGAGCCAAGGGCTTTTGCCACACCCCCCCTGACATCTGTATCCAGCCCAGCAATGACCAAGCCACTGCTGGAAGCCTCCCCTGTGGGAATGTGGGGGGTGCCACAGGCCTCAATCCCACCCCTCCTCCTTCCTCCTTCTTCCGTCACATTTCTTTCCCCTTTCTCCCTCCCTCCTCCTCCCAACTGCTCTGCGACAACATCATAGAATGTAAAAAATAATATTAATAAAATAAAATTTAAAAAAAGGATACAAGGTAGAGGCGAGGTAACCTTTGGTTTGAATGAAATTTTTTCCCACCCATACAATAGAAATGGAGGAATCAAAAAATTGGCCTGAATATTCTGGAAGCACCGAATGTGTGTGGTCCCCATATCTAGTAAGAAAGAAATAAGCTTACCTGCTACCCTTACTGTTAGCAGGGATTCAGAGGTGGTGACAGGCATAGCAGCAGGGATTATAAGCCCTGGCCCCATCAGTCACAGTCTTCAGCAGCTTGTCCCAGCAGGTCAGATAGCTCCAAACTGGGCTCAATAGGGGTTTTTGGAGGGACTGGAGCAGGTCCAGAGACCCTTTAACTTCAGTCAACTCTCCAATGCCCCTTCTCACCACACAGTGGACAGGGCCCTGGTGGGGCCTTGGGTTTGGGCAGACACTTGCCTAGTGCCTTGGTTTACCGCACTTGAAGCAGTTACCTGGGGGAGCAATGGGAGGTTTACCCTGAGCCTTGCCTTGAGGTGGTTTCTGATTTTCCCAGATAGCAGTAGCCAGCAACTGGCATTTGATTTGGTCATGTTTTATTTTTTTTTTTATTTTTTTTTTAAAGATGACCAGTAAGGGGATCTTAACCCTTGACTTGTTGTTGTCAGTACCACGCTCTCCCAAGTGAGCCACGGGCCAACCCTATGTTTTAGTTTTTGAGTTTTAGATTCCTCCTCTCTGTTTCAGGGTCAGGGTTGGTATATTATATTATAGCCTTGGTGAGGCAAGACATAAAAAGTGCACAGCTTTCATTAGGTTCTTGAATAACCTCCTTGATTTTGTTATAATTGACTGCTTTTAAAGAAGTCTTTTTTGCGGAGAAAAAGGAACTCTCATACATTGTTGGTGGGACTGCAAAATGGTGCAGCCTCTATGGAAAATGGTATGGAGGTTCCTCACACTCTTCACAATAGCCAAGAGTTGGAACCAGCCCAAATGTCCATCATCGATGAGTGGATACGTAAAATGTGGTCTATCTACACAATGGAATATTACTCAGCTATAAAAACGAATGAAATACTGCCATTTGCAACAACATGGATGGACCTTGAGAGAATTATATTAAGTGAAACAAGTCAGGCACAGAAAGAGAAATACCACATGTTCTCACTTATTGGTGGGAGCTAAAAATAAATAAATAAATTCACCACTCTTCACAATAGCCAAGAGTTGGAACCAGCCCAAATGTCCATCATCGATGAGTGGATACGTAAAATGTGGTATATCTACAGTTGGAATACTAACAATGGAATATTACTCAGCTATAAAAACAAATGAAATACTGCCATTTGCAGCAACATGGATGGACCTTGAGAGAATTATATTAAGTGAAACAAGTCAGGCACAGAAAGAGAAATACCACATGTTCTCACTTATTGGTGGGAGCTAAAAATAAATAAATAAATTCACACACACACACACAAAAAAAAAAAAAACTGGGGGGGGGGGGAGAAGATATAACAACTACAATTTTTTGAAGTTGTTACGACAAGCAAACAGAAAGGACATTGTTGGGGGAGAGGAAGGAGAGGGTGGAGGGAGGGAGGTTTCGGTGATGGGCCATAATAATCAACCACATTGTATATCGACACAATAAAAATTTTTTTTAAAAAAAGAAGTCTTTTTTATTCCCTTCCATGAGATATGTGAGCATGTGACCTCTCTTGGAGATTTTAGTTGGTAGTTTCAGTTTGGGTCAGTATGTGGGATGACCGCAGGACCCAGAGCAGACTGAGTCGGGTCCTGAGTGTGCAGGATGTCTGTATGGATTTGGGCTGCAGTCCAGACGTGCTCCCACTCCTCTGGGTTTAAAGTGGAAGAGAAGATAACATAAATGTCATGTCAAGTGAGAATTTTCTTTTTTATGTATTGAGAAGGATTTGTGGTATATGATCCTAATTGCTTTTCTCTTTGAGCCATATCATTGAAGGAAAAGGGAACATGGACCCTAACAATGCCCTCAGTTTCCACCACCTCCCAAAGGGGAAGAATAAGGGAAGAGAAGTGGGGGGTTGTTTTGATGTTTGGGGGTTTTAGGTGAAAGGGAAGGTGGCAGTCTATGAGAGCCAGTTAAGGCAGGAGAAGGTATTGGGGAAAGCGGGGAGGGGCGGTGGCTGGGGCAGGCAACGCAGGGCAATTTGGTCATATCTGAAAACATAACATTCCATTCAAAGCCTTGGTAAAATAAGTGTTTCCAATTGTGTCCTGTTACAAGAAGAACAGATCCTTATTGAGCTCATGTAAATAACTATATTGTCATAAAAATCATAAGGATGTTCACAAACAGTTTTTAAATTTTGGAGCAAATAGGGAGAAAGCAAATGTTTCCATCTTTGGTCATAAAAGTATATTTTACCCAATTGCTGTAAGTTATAGGTAGCTTAAGGAAGTTTTCCTTAAATCCGGGAAACAAAACATTTAAGAATTAACAGCAAAAGTTACAAAACATTACCCTTACCAGTTATTTAACTTCATGTGATTAATTTTTTGTTTTGCTTGATCGCTTCCCAGGTTGCAAGAGAAAATCCTTCACTGGAGTCCCTATTCCGGGGGTGAGCAGGAGAGAGAGAGAGAGAACCTCACGAGGTTTGTGACCGGAGTGGCTGGAAGTCAAACTACCTGGCCCCACCATTGGGCACCAATAATTTCCACTTAAAAGTCTGAGAAAATTATGGCATGTTATCAAATGACTAGTAGAGAAGAGATCGAATGTCCTCAATACAAAGAAATGATTATGTTTTGTAATGATAATTATGCTAACTACCCTGATTTGATCATCACACATGGTACATAGTTATTGATATTTAACTCTACTCCACAAATATGCATAATCAATTATGTTTCAGTAAAAATAAAATAAAATAAAAAATAAAAGTGTGAGATTTCAAAGGCACCTTGGCACTAAGGCACTAAGCTGCTTACTTCCCCTTTTCAACCCACTCCTCCTGCAGTCTACCCCACCTCAAATGGCA